CCTCGAGGCCGTCCAAAAACAACCCGGTTGAAAAACCGGTCCCCGGGAAGGGATCCAGACCTCCGGGGGTCGACGTTGTGACAAAAATCACGACGTCGGGGGTCTGGGGATGGTGCATGGAAGCTGGAAAAAGTAACTGGGGCCAGCCCTTCCACTCTTGCCAGCCCTGGCCAGTTTCCCTTTCTTTTTGTCCAGCCCTGGCGACCGCATCCCTGCTGTTTCGGGCTCGCTTCACCAACCGCGCCAGTGGTTCCAGCCCTGGCCACTGCCACTTTCACTGACTTCTCAACCTCCACTTCTTCCAGCTTCCCTGTGCTCGCCTCCCCCCACTCCGTGGGTGGCAGCACCTTGCTTCGAAGACGCCTCTGCCGCACACGGCGCTGTGCGGTCGTCGCGCACCTCTATGCTGACTGCAGTGGGCCTTTGGCCTCTCGTGGGCCGAGAAAAGTCGCTGGGCTCGGACGCCGCCCGAAAGGGGGCCCGCAGCTGGGCGCCGGGATGACGCGGCCCAGCCCCGCCTGTCAGGACCCGCCCAGAGCGTGGAGACGGTCCCCTCACAGTGTAGCGGTTGACCCAGACCTCCTCGAGTTATGAAAAAATCACGACAGGAGGTTTTTCATTATTTTTGGCCTCTGGGGGCCCTTACCGGCCCTCGGGACCGTCAAAAAACGACTCAGGACGAAAAACCGGTCCCAGGGAATGGGTCCAGACAGCTGGGGGTCGACGTCATGAAAAATTCACGACGTCGGGGGTCTGGGGAGCGGGGGCATGACCACCTGACGGAGCATGCCAGCAGCGAGGTCCTCCGCCCCCCGAGACGACCGGAGGGTTGCACTTTCCCCCGGGGATGGGCCCCTAATACGCCGCCGCTTGCACAGAGCCAGAGCGGTCACCCACACACACACGCACACGCACACGCACACGCACACGCACACGCACACGCACACGCACACGCACACGCACACGCACACGCACGCACGCACGCATACGCACTCTCTCACACACACACCATTGCCGACCAACCGGCTCGAGATGGGAAGCGCGACGCGGGAAAGAGGGCGGACCCGCCCAGGATCAGCAAGCCCGAGAGGTGGCCGCATGCAGCCCGCCGAAGCCCAGACAGCGCCTGCTGCACCTCGGGCCCCCGTGCCCGGAAGACGGGGCTGGGGGGTCGGAGAAGCGCCCCCCCCCCCCCCGCAACAGACATCACCCGCTTCAGAGTTCCAGGCCTGGACCCCGCGCCCCTCGGAGCAGCTGGGGAGAAGCAGGGCCCCGCCTGAGTCGGGCATGGCCAGGACCCCAGGTGAGGGGACCCGGTTAGTGGTAGGACCCCGGAGCTTTTGCATTGGCCAGAATCACTAAAAACCAGGTTTGCCATAGCTGGTGTTTTTCGGGTGACGGCAGTTCCGGTTAGTGGGAATGGAACGGGGGGGGCGCCCCCGGTACAGATCACTAAACCAGGTTCCACTACACCCAGCTCTGCCAACGCCCGACTGAGGACCGCGTGCGCATCACACGCACGACGCCTGTGCCAAGCCCGAGCCGCCGGGGTGGCCACGGAGCGTACTGCACGGACTGCGGGCCAGACCGTGGTGGTGCAGGCCAAACCTTGGGACCACCGGACCAGGCCCGAGATGAGGGCCCTCGAGGCCCGCTGCTGGTGAGGAGTCCAGCTCGCCGAGGTCCCATGGAGAAGGGGGTTCAGGCTGAGCCAAAAAGCTGTTCCTTTTTCCGCTAGCTTCCTGACTGCTGCTGGGCTCAGCCTAACATGAAAGGAGAAAGTCCACCCATACCCGATGACTGGCGTGAAATGAACGTCCCTGGGCGTTTACTAAACAGCCTTGCCCTGTTCGATTGTTTCCTTGAGTGCGTTTGCTACACGGCTTCGCGTGCCGGAGTGATTGTGATGAGGGTGGATAGTTCTGCTGCTGCCTGTAACAAGGTTGAGCTGCTCGCCTAGATCGCCCTTCCAGCCCCCGGGATGAGACGACACGCCAGCCGTCCCCTCCCACCATTCGGAAATACACGCCCGCAGGCGACGCAGCGCCCTCCCGGGCCTGGATGGCGACCTGGGCCTTCGTCTCGGCATCGCTCGGACGTGTGCATTTGTCCTTCGGCGAGGGACATCGAGGCGCATCCTGGATCACTTGGCGAGAAAAAGCCACGCACGACACCGAAAAAAAAACACCGGGAATGGACGTCCGAGCGACAGCAAGTCGTGCCTCCCGCCCAACACGCGGTGCCCCACGTTGAGAGGCCACGCCGGCCCGCCGCCGGCACCCGCCGGGGGCCGAGCCGGGCGCCGCCCTCGAAGGCGCACCGCTTGAGGGCCACAGAGGTCCCTCGCCACGTAAAACGACGCGAAGATGGGGACAAAATCGGATCGGGATAATTCGAAATCTCTGAGAATCGGCGGGTTTGGAGGATGTATTGGGCGCCGCGGCCGCTCCAGAGCGTTCCGGAACGCTCTGAGAGCGCTCCGGAACGCTCTGGAGCGATTTATCCCGATCCTAGCCCTGTTTTACCACGGAGACCTGCGAGACTCATGCACGCTTGGGCCCGCAGCTTGGGGAGCTCCGTCGGGGGCACTCCCAGAGCGCACGCTCCCCGCCACGCCGAGGCCGTCGGGGCCTCCTCGCCGGATCCGCCTTCCCGCCGCTCCTGCCTCTCGCGCAGGTGGGCGCGGCGCCTCGCGGACCTGGCCGACTCACTCCAACGAGCTCCGGCGATCCCGACTCGCCCGAGTACCCCGAGGTTCGCATCCGCCCCGAGGTTCCCGGCAGGGTCGGCCCACCCAGAAGCGGGCAAGGACATATTTTTTTCTCTCGAGCTCGTCGGCCGGGGGCCCCGTTGCCGACCAAGTTGTTGTGCACTGCGGCACTTGCACGGGGAGCTCGAGCTCACAAAAGTCGCTGAGGATGCCATTCGCCGCCGAGGGCAGCTGGCGGGGGCCGCAGCACTGCAGCGTCACGTCGCCGACGACGTGTCGGGCCTGAAGCTGGGGCCTGCCGATCGAGGGTCGAGCCGAGAGGGCCGAGCAGGAGGAGCTCAGCCAGATTTGTCGCCGCGGAACGCCCTGCTGTTTTCGCTCGATTGCAAACAGAAAAAACGAAGGATTGCAAAGGATTGCAAAGGTTTTTTTTGCAATCCTTCGTGCAAAAAAGCCGAAGGTTTTTTTGCAATCCTTGTTTTTTTTTGCAATCGGTCGCTTGGTGGTACCCCGAGATCGCCCCGTCGAAAGCAGGATCCTAAGCCCTGGGTGGACAGTCACACGGCCCCTTAGAAGCTGCAGATGAAATCCGAACCGGCGGCCCGCTGCAAAAAGATCAGCGCGTCGTACACGCTCGCAGAACTTCGTGACATCGAGCAGCACGGTGGCACAGCCCGTGCCCTTGGCACGGCCGAACGCGCCAATGAAGTTGTGGGTCCAACCGGCTTTCTCGCATGTGATCGTCGGACTATTTCACCATATGAAGAACGCCATGTCGTGGGCCCGTTCCCAGTCCCTGCTGAGCGGCTGTCTGTGCCTGCTCCAGAGTTTCATAAACAGACACAGCAACCCGATAGGCCGAACTCACCCTGCAGGTCTTGGGATGAACGCAATATTCGCAACCAACTCTAACATCCAATACGGGCGATCCTCGATGGCCTGGACCATGAGGTGGGGTGGGGTGGGGACACACACTTGTATACATTTGGCCTGGCCCGAAAACCATGCAGGACACCCACACACACCCACACACACACACACACATCCGCGACGAGGCGCAACCACCTCGCACTAGGCACCGGGGCCCCTAGTCCGACATGTCCCCGCAATATCAATGCTGCGCGTTCCTCGTGGCGACCAGGTTTCAACTCTCAGCCGTTCCAGCTGCATGCTGGTTCAACTCAGCCGCACAAGCCTTGGATCGAGAGGCATGCCATCAAAACTCCCTATACGTGTTGGAACGATGTTGGAATACACCCCCCCTCAAAGCTCCCTCTCCATTGGCCTCTTCATGGATTCATTTCAACTGAGGGAAGTGCCCCGTTAGGAGACAAACGTTGGAAGATTCTGAAGCGTGCCAAAGCACCATTCTCGTGACTCAAACGCCACGAACCAACTTGACTGTTGCGTCTTGACGATCTTGAACCGTGCCAGAACACCATTTCTGGCACTTCAACGCCGCGAATCGACGTAATTGCTGCGTCCTGATAGCCCTGAATCGCGCCAAATCGCAATTTCTGTTTCGCTGGCCACGGGAATCCGTGAACACCTTGCACATTTGTAAGGACGTTTGTGCTCGGCGCCATGGCGAGAGCCACATTTTGTAAACGACCCGGCCTCAATCCGTGAAGCTCTTGCTAATGTTGAAAACGAGTGTTCGCGGCGCTGTGGCGATAGCCACATTTTGAAAACCGCCCGCTCTCGACCATTGAAGCTCTTGCGAAGTTTTAAGGCGAATGTGCGGGCGCTGAGGCGAGAGCCACATTTTGAAAACCGCCCGCCCTCCATCTGCGAAGCTGCTGCCAACTTTCTAAGCTTCAGGAGCAGACATGCTAAGGAAGTCTCCGGCGAAACGCCCGGCCCGCTCTTCCGACCTGGCCTCCAGGTGCGACAGGGAGTAGTTCATGTATAAGGAAAAGGAATGGAGGAGGGAGGAGAAGGAGGACAAAGAGGAAGGTGAGAGTGAAAAAAGAACGGGGCGAAGGAGGAAGATGAGACGCGATGGAAGACGCGTGAAGAAGAAGGAGAAGAAGAAGAAGAAGACGAGGCGGATCATCCCCGTCTGGCTTGCATTGCCCACCACTGGTGTTCCGATCTTGGCGCATGCGCGCGACGCGAGCTAGAGAGTCAGGCCCCTCTGCGACGGGCTCTCTTCGAGGGGTTCACGGGTCCACGACTGATTCTTCTTTTTGAACTCCCACACGCCATCTCATTTGGCTTTGTGATTCGTCCCAGACGTCGAAAGCATCGCCCCAGGGACGTGGAGGCGGTGAGGACCCCGTATGCGGACATGGCCCACGGCATGTCCGGGCACTTTGACGAGACGGGGTCCCGCGCCGCCACCGACGGCCAGGTGGAGCGGTCTAGGGCTGGGGAGGGGTACTTTCATTCGGTAGCAACTCACGAGAGGCCTTCATATCTTCGGACTTCCGTCTCGCTAGCACATTCTCTTGCGCTGGCGTCTGGTACTCGATGGGAAAATGCAGATTTGGCGTCGATGTGCGTTGATTTAGCGTCGATTCGAGCCGATTGGCGTCGATCAGCGTCGGCTGGCGTGGAGTAGCGTCGGGTAGCGCCGATTCGCCAGAGCCAGCAAGAAGACATGGGAGGCTCCCGTGGAGCGGTCCACCGCTGGGGGGGGGGCGGGGTCACGTCGAGTGCAGGTGATGTCCCAGCTTGTGATGTGCTGCGACACTTCTTCTGGGCCGCTGCTTCGGCCTGGGAGGGTACAGCGCTGCACATCGCACTTTCGGATCTGCTTCGCGATCGCTTCTTACTTGGCTCGTGGTGCGAGCGGTAGGCGCGCGAGCTGCAGGGCCGACACCGAAACAGATGGATGTTGAGAGGATAAGGATGCGCTAGGGAGGCGTACGGTCAGGAGCTGTGGCTTAGAGTCAACCCGCACTGTAAGGATGGGCCATTTTCCTGAGGGTACCCTTGCATTCTTGCCTCCTCGGTTCATCCTTGGCCACATTCGCTGGCCGCGCCCTGCCCGAAAAGCTTCGACATGGCCTTGCTGCAGGGCCCGTGCATCCTTATCGTTCATCCTTCTGATACGGGTCGGCTGTAGCGTGTCGCGGCGCCGGTTCTGGCCCACCACGTGTCGGCGCGACACGCCAGCCACGCCCCAGTCCCCGAAATGCCACGGCCCGAGCATCTCCTGGCCTCATGCCGCGCGGAGCGGAGCGACACGCTGTCCGCTTGCAGGGCACAGCGTGTCGCCAGGGCAGCCGCCGCGACATGCTAAGCAAACGTTCCCGACCATACAGTCCACCCGCTTCCTAAGTGTACCCCTTGCACCCTTGCCTCCTCGGTCCGTCCTTGGCCACTTTCGCAGGCCGCGTCCCGCTCGAAAAGCTTCGACATGGCCTTACAGATGCCCTTGCATCCTTACCGCGCATCCCTCTGATGCGGGCCGACGGTACCTGGGATCAGGACACCTCACTCCGAGGCGCTCCAGAGCGCTCCCAGACTGTGCCTGAACGCTCTGGAGCGGCCGCGGCGCCCGATGCATTCTCGGCAGATCCCGTTCGGAGAGGTTCTCGGTTTCGCCTTATTGGAGTGCGGCCTCCTCCTGCCCTGTGTCTCGGGTTGAGCACCAGCCGCCGGGAAGGAGCGGCGGCGATCCTTCAGAGGCGGGCGGGCGGTTCCGCCTCGGGGCCGTGCCTGCTGTTCGTTCGGAAAGGCCCGGGGCGTCGCGCAGACAGCCCCTGGAGATGGGGGTCGGACGAAAGGCGGGGTAGTAAAAAGAGCGGGTCCGCGAATCAGCTCACGCAGCTAGCTTCCTTTAAGTCGGGCCTGTCCCTCTACTGGGGGAATATTCAGAAATATTACAAAACTAGTCTTGGAACTATTTTTTTAGGTATGTTATAGCATTTTTGGCACATTTCCTGCATTTTTTGTTCATCGTCCCAAGGGGGACATGCCCGACCTGCAGCTTCCCCGACGCCTCCTGGAGCCAGAGGCGCCCTTTTGTCGAGACAGCGGCCCGGCGGCGGGGCCGAGTCCAGCTGCACGCAGCAGACTTGGTGACATCCCCTGCTCCCCCAAGCCCCGCCTGCCTGCGACCCGACCTCGCGAACAAGTTGCAGCCTCGCTCGAGAGATCACGACCCGAGCCCCCGAGCCCGTCGTCCTGTGGCATCCCTCGAGCCAGATCCACCCGCGAGCCCACAGGCGGGGGCACCCGCTGCGACGCCAGAGGTGCGACGCCAGAAGTGCGACGCCCGCAGCCCCCAGCCTGGGGGCGGCCTCGGCACCCCCGGGCGCGCTGCGCCCCCCGTGGCGGCGCCATGCGCCATGCGGCGTGGGCACCCCGCGGGCGCGCCGCTCCGTTGACGAAGCAGGGGGCGCTCCGGCAGAGGGGCCCCGCCCTCCGCGCAGCGGGCGCGCTCGGCGGAGGGCGGAAGCGGGCGCGGGCGGAAGCAAAGCCGCGGCGGAGGCCCGGCGCAGGACCGGCAGGGGGCGGCCGGAGCAGAAGCGAGGCGTCAGCGCAGTACGTTGGCTTGTGCGAGAGGAGGAGCAACCGCCCGGACCGGACACATCGGCGTTTACTCAACGGCCCTGGGCGTTTACTACGTAGTAGACGCCCAGGCGACGAAGGCAGGCTCATGACTAACCCCGTAGCATGTTGTACACCACGTGGGGGCCTGGGTTATTTTCTAAAAAAAAAAAAAAAAAAATGGCCGGGGGTGGGGGTCACCAGTTGGATCCTCAACTACACAGCCCCTGCCCCGTTGGATTCCTCTGGGTGCGTTTGCTTCGCGTGTCGGGGCGGTCCTTCGCGGGGTGGGTGTGCTGCCCTCTATTTGCTTGGTCTCTCGTGTCGCCGACGGGCGCCGGCCCCCGCCTCCTCCCTTGGCGTCCCCTCGGCCAGCTCGTGGCTGCGCTTGGGCGGCAGCTGCTGGCGACTGGTCAGGTTCTCCCCCCCCCCCCGAGTCTGCCTGCGCGAGTGGCAGGAGCAGATCGACGCAGCACTGGCCCGGACTCGGACCCTCCCCTCCCCCACCTTTTCTCAGGAGGGGAAAAAACACAGACACCATTAATCGTCGATTCCTTAGAAATTATAGGAAAATTATGGGAAGCTGGGGGGAAGACAAAAACCCAGTAAATACGAGAAAGTATGGGGAATCCTGTTATATTTGCGTGTTTTTATCTGTGTGTCCCAGGGCCGGCCCCCTCACTTTCGGCCAACCGTTGAGCGGCCCACCGGAAGACGCTTTCTTTTGGGGGCTCCGAGCTTCCAGTGTCGGCCCCCCGCGCGCGGGGTGGCGCCAGGGGCAGGGCCCGCTCCCACCCGATCGCTCCAGGTCGATGCCGGGTGCGGCCGGCCCGGCGGGAGGCCTGTGCACCGCTCCCGGGCCCAGGCGCGGCCGGCGAGGACGTGGGCGTCCCCCGGATCAGGGTGGGCACGGGATGGGCAGGGATGCAGGCGGAGGCCTCTTGGGGGCCCATGGTGGAGTCGAGGCCTCCTAGGTGGGGTCCGGAGTGGATGGGGTGGGAGGAGGGCGCCGCGTCGCAGATGCCTCGCCGATGCGGCTCGATGTCGAGCCCGATGTGCTTCACGTCGACGCCACCGATGCGTCGCCCACGTCGACGATGCATCGCCGGTGCATCGCCGAGGCGTCGCCGACGCATCGCGCGGCGGCGCGATCCTCCGACCCCATCTACTCCGACCCGACCTAGGAGGCGTCTGTGGAGCCTCTGAGGGCGTCTTGGGGGCCTGGGGGCCTCTCGGGGGACTTTGGGGGCCTCTTGGGGCCTCCTGGGGGCATCTTGGGGCGGAAGGCTCGGATTGTCGGTTCGGGCTCCCCCTCGTGGGCCCCTCTTGGGGCCGTCTTGGGACTCTTTGGAGCCGTCTCGGGCGCCTCTTGGGCTGTCCTTGGCTCTCTTGGGCCGTCTTGTGCCCTCTTCAAAAAAACCTCTTGGGCTGTCTTGGGGCGGTCTTGAGTTCCTCGCGGGCCGTCTTGGACATCGCGAAAGCTTAAAAGTCAAGTACGTAAACAAAGTATATGTCTTCAGGGAGTGGGACGATGTTTGCCTCTTTGGGCCCTCTTCGGGGTGCTTTTGGAGGCCCCCTGATGCGTCTTGGGTGCGTTTTCGGCCGACTGGAGACCATCTTGGGCGTCTTGGACCGATCGTTCGGAGATTCGAAGCCCTCTTGGGCCATCTGAGAGGTATCTTGGGGCACTCTTGGCCCGTCTTGGGGCCCCTGTGGGCCCGAACAAGTCATGCAACACGCTACGGGAGCCACGCCACAAGACCATTTAAGATTTTGGGGTCCGGGCCCCGATAAGAATCTTCAGGAGTGAGGACTGTGGCTCAGGGGATCGGGCAAGGGACCTGGGGGCACTCCAAGTCGTGCCCGATTCGATTCCGTCCGATCCGGCCCGATGTTACACAGCGCTGTTGTGCATCTTGACGCAGCCGATCCGATTGGGTTTCGACTCTGTGCCGATGCAGGCCGATTTGACGCGCGCTCCGATTCGAATAGACTTTCGGATTCGGTGCTGACTGATTCTGGGATCGCTCGGGTTGTCACCCCCCTGCAGAAGGCGTGCCTCCCTCGTACTTCTACAGTCTGATGTTTTGTGTTTCTTTTTCTGCAGGGCAGTTGTTGATCAAGCCACCGCCAAATCAAACAATGCGAAACATATGTTTGCGCTGGCGGGAGACTACTATGCCAATTCAATTCGTTGCCAAATATCTCTGGCGCACCAGGGGTCTTTCAGTTGCTCTCCAGAGGCGCTTCGCCGAAACACAGATCACCAGGTTCGAGCTTTCGCAGCCCGGGCACTTCGAGCCGGCACCGTCACCAAATACGGTCAGGAACTTTTGCTCAGCGTGTGGCGGCGGCGGCCCGGCCACGGCGACACGCTCTATGCCCCACGAGTGGACCGCGCGTCGCTCCCCTCCGCGGCGCGGGGGGTGGGGGGAAACGCTATAGGATGTGGACCGGAGCCCGCGGCGCGACACACGCTAAGCCAAAGTGCTCTGGCCGCACTGGCACAGACTGCGGCAGGTAAGAAGTTGACAGCACACACCGGCCATGGTGGCCAACCCTGACTCCAGATCCGCCCTACTTTGGCTTTTTTCCCAACTTAAATTGCGTCGGAAATCCACCTATAAGGAGCCGAAAAAGCAGGGCGGAAATTTCTGCACCCAACATAAAATGGGGCGAAAATCCACAGAAGTAGGGCGGAAACAACAACAGAAAAGTAGGGCGGAAATTGGCATCAGCGGGGCTTGAAAAGTAAGGCGGAAATTCCAAGCCCTACTTACGAATTTCCCCAATGTAGGGCGGATCCGGAGTCAGGGAAGGGGGTGGGGGGCCCCTTCGAGATGCATCGCGCGCGGCCCTGCCCCCCGCGCGGCCCTCCGCCCAGGTGAGCCTGAACTCGCCGTCGCCGGCCGGCACGCGGGAGTGGAGGCGGCGGCAGCGGGGGGCGGCCGCGGAGCCCGTCGTGCTCTTGCCCCCCCCCTCCCCCCCCCCCTCGGAAGCCTTGGCATCGCTCGGACGTGGGCATCTTTCCTTTGGCGAGGACCATCGAGGAGCATCCCTGATCATTCGGCGAAAAGACCACGCGCGAACCCGTAAAAAAACACAGGGAAGGGACGTCCGAGCGATGGCCAGCAGCGGCAGGGCAGTTCTGCCCAACGGCCCTCCTGCTCCGGGTTTTCGCTGTGGAGGCAGAGCGCTGCTCGCGCGTCTCCCTGCGTCCTTCCTTCCTCCCGCCGGCTCCCTCTCACGGGGCCCCCTGCTGGCCGCCTCCTTTGTGGGCTCCCCGGGGGGGGGGGCGCGGCGGAGGTGCCGGGCAGCGCGGAGCAATCTAGCTCTCGCGCGGCTCCCCGGCGGGGCTGCGAGCTGCGCAAGCGTCGCCACTTTGGTGGGCTGCCTCCCTCCTGGGAGGCACGGCGGAGATCTCCTTGAGATCTCGCGCGGCTCCCTGGGGGGCTGCGGACCGTGCAGCTGTCGCCACGTTCGTGGGCGTCCTCCCTCCTGGGAGGCACTGCGGAGTGCAGGGCAGCACAGACCTCTTCGAGACGTCGCGGCTCCCTCGAGGGCTGCGAGCTGTGCAACTGCCGCCACCTCCGTGGGCTCCCGGGGAGGCACGGCGGAGCGCAGTGGAGCGCAGATCACTCCGAGGTCTCGCGGCTCCGTCGGGGGCGGCGAACTGCGCAACAGTGCAGCCGTCGCCACGTGCGTGGGCTCCTGAGAGGCACGGCGGAGTGCAGAGCAGCGCAGATCACCTCGAGACCTCGCGGCTCCCTCGGGGGCTGCGAGCTGCGCAACAGTTGCCACTCTCGTGGGCTCCTGAGGCACGGCGGAGTGCAGGGCAGCACAGGTCGTGCAAGTCTCGCGATGTGTTCGCTGGTGTGGGGCGTTCATGCAACAGTCGCCTCACGTGGAGAAGGACTTCGGTAATTACGTCTCGGGTATCATGATGCTTTTTTTGGTTTCAGTCTTCGTGGTTCGGTTGCTTCACCGTTTCCGGCGCCGTTCTTGTTGCCGTTTCCAGCCCCGTTGTTTTACTGCTGTCGTGTCCCTTGGTTGGGGCCTGGTCCAGATCTCACAGTTTACTCACCGTTCTCGAACCGTTGTCAAAGCGGTTCCGGAAGGCCTGCGGATCCTCGGGTTGCCCAGGCTGGCTCGGTGCATCTTTTTTGTTCTAGCGTGTCAGAGGACCACGTGTCGCCCGTTCTTTTTTACCAATGTGTTTTGGGAACATGATTTACGCATTGCCTTGCCGCTTCCAGGGTCACCGAGCACCCCCCACCTCCCCACTCGCCCTTGCCCCCTCCACTGGGCGACGTGCATCGGGATGCCGATCGTCTCGTGTAGCACGCCGTGTCTCTTCACCCAAGCTTCAAGCCTGCCGAGCTGGAACAGCTTGATTTGGAGGTGATCAAGTTCTTTGCAATATCTGGTGCTGTGCTGTCGTGTTTTCCCAAGCTGGGGGTCCGACGGGACCCCGCGGGACCTCGGGTCACGTCTCCGCGAGTCCTCAAGACGCACGATTCGGTTGTCCTGCACCCTGGGGACTCCGATGGCCCCGAGGACACTGCTTTGGGGGAACAAAAAAGTGGCATTAACATAACAACTCGGAGGTCCGCGCGGATTTCTCGGATCGGCGCTGGGGCCCCCCGGCGGCGCCTCCAGCGCCGCCCCTGGCGCGCTCCGCGCGCCAGGGAGGGGGGTCAGCGCCGATCCGAGAAATCCGCGCGGAGCTGAGTTTTTATGTTTAGTATGGCACGTTTGGTTCCCCTATGCTTGCACAGCCAGATGCAGAAGATGCTTCAAGGTTGCGTACGGAGGAGCCCATAACAGGCTGCCGTGACCTGCCTACAGCGCTCCTTCCTTTGCGTGGTCTTGAGAGTGAACGTGGCTTCCTGTGCACAACGTTCTAGAATAATACCGGATGCGTTCACGTCTCGTTCTGTTTCAGGTGCAGCGCATCTACCAGCAAGCGGTGTTTCAGATTGGGAGGCGTGTGCAAGGGAAGCCCAGGACCGTGTTGCAAGGGCGCTCTCAGGCGAATTCGCCAAGGCTTGCATGTGAGGATATCGTCGCTGCTGGTGCTGGCACCGCTTGTCGCGCCTCGGCCAAGTTTTTGCTGCTGCAGGTGGCCCAGACTGACCCTGCCTCCTCTCGTGCGGGGACGCGCCTGGTCTCGACACCTGGGATGGAGGCGCTACAGCTGCCCCCGGCACGCAACGGGAGGAGGCCGCCGCAGCGGCAAGAGTGGCCCACTGGGCTATTGGAGTGCCCCCCGACGAAAATCACCCTCCTCCTCCATCCTCCTCCTCCTCCTCCTCGCTAATGATCTTCAGGGCCCCCCCGAGAAAAATCGCCCTCCTCCTCCTCCATCCTCCCCCTCCCTCACAATCGTCTCCTCCCCCTCCATCGGGGGCCCAGTCGAACGCCTGCTTCCTCTGTGGCGCTCCCTGCTCTTTCCTCTGGTTGGTCCCCCGCCTCCCCTCCCCCTCCTTCTCCCCCCTCTTTCTCCCCCTTTCCCTTGGTCGGTCTCGCGCCTCCCCTCCCCCTCCCCTTTCTCCTCCCCCCCTGGCGTACTTACTGGTGCAATGCTTGGCATGGTCGTTCGATCACGTCGGCGTGATCACGCCTACGGCCCAAAGGCGCGGCCAGTCCCGAAAAGCGCGGCCCAACCCCACAGGCACCAGCACTTGCTACATGGATGTCGTGTCCCTGGGGGTGGCTGCCCCTGCCCGGGGCTAAGAACAAGTCCGCCTCTCGGGGCTCAAGAGACGGGGGCCAAGGCAAGCGGGGGTCCGTCGGAGCGCCAGATCTTGAAGGATCCTGCAGGGCCAGGGGCGCACTGACCCGGGTTTGGGTGCAGTATCCTGCAGGATTTTGCAAGATCCTGCAGAAGCCCGACTGACCCGGGTTTGGGTTGACCCGGGAAAGTAGATCCCCCGGGCCTCATCGCACGCATCCAGGTGTAAGCCTGGCTCCCGGTCGAGAGGCGGCAGCAGGGGTTACCTCGCACATTCCCTGCGGTTAGAGACAGTGCATTCCACGCGGACTCGAGTACGGGAGCATGGACAAGACGAAACCTTCGTTTACGCACCCGAGTCAGCATCAGATGCTCCTTGTCTCTCTTCCTCTTCCTTCTCCCTCTCCCTCGTCTCTGCCGCATCTCCTCCTGCCTCGTCGCTGACTGCCCCTCCCTCGGCTCTTTCTCCTCCTCCCTCCTCTTTTTCCTCACTCACCCCTGTTCCTCGCTGAATTTCTCATCCTCCCTCAGCCTCCCTCCTCCATCCCTCCCTCCCCCTCATCGTTCTGCACCCCCACTTGCGAAGGCGTGGATGAGGAGGGGGGGATGGACGGGGTCGGACCGGCACGCGCGACGGCTGGGTCGGCAGAAGGCACCACGTGAAGGGGCGCATCACGCAGAAGATCAGCAGGGGGAGCAAGAGAACGAGGCCCTCGGGAGAACGAGAAAGGCGTGCGAACGTCATGCGCCGTGCTGTTTTTCCCCCCCTTCCCTGCGGAGATGAATGGAAACCTCATTCCAGCAACAGGAAATGGCATGAACATAAACTTTCGGAGCCCCGCGCGGATTTCCTGGGTTGGCTCTGGGCCACCCTGGCGGCGCCTCCGGCGCCCCCCCACCCATCGACGCGCTCCGCGCGCCAAGCGTGCGGGGGGGGGGGGGGGGGGGCACCGCCGACCCAAGCAATCCGCGCAGACCTCAGAGACATATGCTTCTGCCGTTTTGCTGTGCCTCCATCATGGGATCCTCGCCCTGCCAGGTCGAGCAGGGAGTCCGACCAGACACCTCCCCCCCTCGAAGTCAAGCGCAGGTTTTTTCCCCGCCGCAGCGCGGCGGCGCCCCAGGGCCCCAAGGCTTCAAAGGTCGTGCCGAAGCAGGCGCCTGCGGGCACAGGAATCGGACCCCGCGGACCGCGCTTCACGCGTCGACCAATACTTACGATTGACTTGCGTCTGGGTTCGAGGAGGGCTGTGGTGCCCCCCTTGCCCCTCCCCTTGCCCCTCCCCTTGCCCCTCCCCTTGACTTGCGTCCTCCCCCCCCTTGCCCCTCCCCCCCCCCCCCTCCCCGCGCTTCTGTCGCTCGTCTGTCGTCCGTCGTGCTTCGTCGTCGTGTCGCCCGTCGCTCCGCGCTCCTGCCACAGGGCATCCCTACCGCAGGCCATAGAAAAAAAGTGTCGGGGGTGGACGGAACCCCCAACAGTGACACGCCGATCAGTGAATTGTCCGTTTTCGGCGCTCGAGAGGGCGCCGCGGCCGTTGCTTTCCAGGCGTGCGCCCGCCAGGCTTGGGCCCGAGGTCGTTTTCATTCCACCACGTTTTACTAATCTACTCTGTAAGAACGGTTTTTTGAAGGCAGATCTGCCTTCAAAGAGGAAAGACTGGTCTACTCTGTAAGAACGGTTTTTTGAAGGCAGACCTGCCTTCAAAAAGTGTTTTTTTGAAGGCAGATCTGCCTTCAAAAAACCGTTCTTACAGAGTAGACCAGTCTTTCCTCCTTGGAGGTCTGTCCATCCCCGAGAGTGGTGCCCCGCTCCGGCCTCTCGCTGGGGGGGTCCTGCAGCCGCCTCGTGTTCCCCTTGCGGCGGGCCCGCGACGGTGGATGAGAGCCCCCCCCCCCCCCCCGGGCCGCTTTCGCCGACGGGCGCCTCGCCGAAGGGCGACCTCTCCTCCTCCTCCTCCTCCTCCTCCTCCTCCTCTTCTCCTCCTCCTCCTCCTCCTCCTCCTCCTCTTCCTCCTCCTCCTCCCCTCCTCCACCTCCTCCTCCTCCTCTCCTCCTCCTCCTCCTCCTCCTCCTCCTCCTCCCCCTCCCCCTCTGCCCGCCCCCCCCCCCGCCCCGTACAGTCGGGGCGCTACACAAGGAGCCCTTTTGGGGAGGGGCTCCGTGTTCCTTCATTGTTCCGCAGCTTGCCTTCGGTTGTCCTTGGGTTTTCGATGGGGAATCGAAGTTTAACTTATCGGAAAAAAAAGGCCTCTCGTTCCTTATTCAGGGTTCCTTAGGTCAACGCCCCGACTGTAATTTCGGAGGTCCCCGCGGATGTCTGGTTGGCGCTGGACTGAAGTCGGGCCTGTCCCTCTACAGGAGGAGTACTCAAAAACAGTCACAACAAAAAAAGAGTTGGGGGACGATTTGTTTGGAGTATGGTTTGAATATGTTTTTTTTTGGGGGGGGGTATTTTTGATTCTTCGTCCAAAATCCGCCTGTAGGGGCCCGTGCCCGACCTAACGCTAGGCCAACCTCCCTGCACCCCGGGCACCGCCTCCGGCGCGCCCCAGCGCCCAACGCCGACCCCCGCGGGCGCCCGAACGCCCATGCTTTGCAGAGCCGTGGGGCCTTCTGGCCTGCCGCCCCGCTCTTCCCCACGACCTCCCAGAGTGCCGAAAGATTTGGAACCCGAGTTCGAAAGGAAAAGCCACCTAAACATTTAACGGGCGAAGAACGGTATAAGATAAACGTTTTCGCTGTCGGGGGCGCCTGTCCCTGGGCGGCTGGAAAATTTATACCCCTACGGTGCCACCGTAAAGGTATAAACTTTCCAGCCGCCCTGGGACAGGCGCCCCGACAGCGAGAAAGTTTATGTTATACCGTTCTTCGCCCGTGAAAACACAAACTTTTGGCGCCCCGCTCCGCGCGGACTTCTTGGCCCCCCCCCTGGCGGCGCCTCCTGCGCTGCCCCCGGCGGCGCCTCCTGCGCGCCAGGAAAGGGGAGCCCAGCGCGAGTCCAGGAAATCCGCGCGGAGCGCCAAAAGTTTATGGCTAGATGTTTTTAAGGATGAGGAGGAGGAGGAGGAGGAGAGGAGGAGAGGAGGAGAGGAGGAGAGGGAGGAGGGAGGAGGGGGGAGGGGGAGGGGGGGAGGGGAGGGGAGGAGGGAGGAGGAGGAGGAGGAGGAGAGGAGGAGGAGGAGGAGGAGGACGAGGAGGACAGGAGGACGAGGAGGAGGAGGAGGAGGAGGAGGAGGAGGAGGAGGAGGAGGAGGAGGAGGAGGAGGGAGGAGGAGGAGGAGGAGGAGGAGGAGGAGGAGGAGGAGGAGGAGGAGGAGGGGAGGAGAGGAGGAGGAGGAGAGGAGGAGGAGGAGGAGGGAGGAGGAGGAGGAGGAGGAGGAGGAGGAGGAGAGGAGGACCCAGGAGGAGGAGGAGGAGAGTGTCAGGGCGGTCAGGGGCCAACCCTCTCCCAAGAACAGGGCTCCTTCACCCAGACAGTCCCCTCCACGCACGTTGCCTGTGTCCCCTCTCGGGCAGGATTCGCATGTCGATGGGAAAGATCGGCACGCGCTTGGACGGCCTCGTCGGCCGCCTCTGGTCAGAGGACTCCTCCATGAAGTCCGCGCGGCGCCGCTGGTCCGAAGGGGTCGTGGACAGCATGCGCTTCGAGATGCTGTGCGGCATCGTCATCCTCGCTAACGCGATTGCAATAGGGTGGCGGCAGGACGGGAAAGGTGAAATGGGGTGGACCTGCCTGGGAGGGACAATTGCCCCCCGAACAGGCCGGCCATCGCCGATCGGAGAGCGGGTGCCCCCTGCCTGCCGCCCATCTGTCGGCGAGGTGTCTTCGATTCTGGCCACTCTCCGCTGCACTGCTGTGGTGTTCCGCGTCGTTCGAGGGTTCGTGCAGCCGTGGTCGCCTAGCTGATGCGGTAAAACATGTGTCTTCGAAGCCATGCCGATGCGCCTTCCCATGCGCCCCCCTCTTTGGCTCGTATCAGCAGGACGCACTGATCAGAGACGCCATGGGGGGCGCCGGGGGGCACTTCTGTCACACGTGTGCCGACGTGGTGAATTACCTCCTCGTACTCGTGTTCGTGCTCGAGATCGCTTTCCGCATTTACGCGAAGCGCCTAAGGTACTTCTTCGGCCGAGAGTGGAAATGGAATGTCGCCGACAGTGTACTGGCAACGTACTGCATCATCGAGTTTGCCGCTTCCCGTACCTACAAGCCCTACTTCCAGATAGTCCGCACGCTGCGTTTGGTGCGGGTTGTGCGTGCCATACGGAGCGTGCGCGTGTTCCGCGATGTGCGGCTCATGGTTTGCTCCCTCAGCCAGTCGTTGGTTCCGCTCTTCTCCGCGTTCGCGCTGCTGTTCGGGGTGATCTACGTCTTCAGTATCTGCTTCATGTATGGCGCGACCATCTACGTAGAGCAGGTTGGTGCCCGAGCGGACGTTGTCAGCGAACTGAGGAGGAACTACGGCAAATTGTCGACGACCATGTATACTCTGCTACTTGCGATATCCAATGGTAGGGATTGGAACGAGTTGGCAGCCCCACTGTGCCAGATCCACTGGGGCTTTCAGGCCCTGTTCATGTTTTACGTCCTCTTCGTCGTCATCGGGGTGCTCAACGTACTGACGAGTATTCATTGGCTTACGCCGCGCCGCCGACCCCTTGGGGGGCAGTAAGAGTGAAAAACGGAGTTCGCGGAACGCGCGCGATTGGGGGAATCTTGGGGTTTCGGTTTCTTGATATTTTGTCGGGGACGGTTGGAGGGTGGCAGCTCATCTTCTGGGCTGCTCTGGGGCCCGTCTTAGGTGGTGCGCGGGGGCTCAGTTATAGGGGCCTCTCAGGGGGTTGTTTTGAAGTTTTTCGTCGCCTCTTTTGACTCTCTTTGGGGGCGTCGTGGGGCCTGCCCCAGCTCTCCCGCTTCCCCCCCCGGACAGGCTCGGGGGTCGTCGGCACCCAGCTGGGGGCGCGCCCGGCCAGAAGTTCGAGAGTGGACCCTCCCCCCTCTACAATTACACAATATGAATACTACTCTCCTCCATCCCCTGATGGCGTGCGGAAGATAGCGGGCACCCCTCCGCGTACTGTTGTTTACACCGGATTTCCCGGAGTTGGGTTTTCGCTTGTTTTTTTTCAAAATGATGCTCTCGCTGAGGCGCGGGCTTCATTTTCGGGCTTCCGCTCGTTCCGAATCGTGCTCCCGCTGCAGCGCTGGCCTCATTTCCGTGCTTCCGCTCGTTCCGAATCGTGCTCTCGCAGGTTGGCCTCACTTCCGTGCTTCCGCTCGTTCCGAATCGTGCTCCCGCTGCAGCGCTGGCGTCATTTCCCGTGCCATGCCACGGCATGCAATGCAATGCTAGGTTCCATTCCGCTGCGCGATGCCATGCCTTCAGCTGCAGCTGTCATATCCAGTGCGTAAGTGCCACGTCATGCTATGCCATGCTACGCTTTGATATTCAACGCCATGCTATGCAATGTTCTGTTCGGGGCCGCTGTGCGATGCCATGCTTTGCGTTGCAAAGCTTTGTGATGCAATTCTTCACTACGCCACGCCACGCCATGCTGTGACATACTACGCTTTGCGGTGCTCTTCTACGCCATGCTATGCCGTGCTCTACAATGCATCGCGTACCCTTTCGGGATCATTGCCCTGCTCAACATCCGACTGTGCGAGTAGAGAGGGGATCTACGCCATGGTAAGGGATGGGATGGAGGGGTAGGATGTCAGATATGACGCGAGCACACCTAGCTTGCCCCTCCCCCCCTCTCCCCACTCCCCCCCCCCCTCCCCCCCCCCCTCCCCCCCTCCCCCCCCCCCCTCCCCCCCCCTCCTCCCCTCCCCCGACGAGGAGCCTCGGGGCGGAGAGCGCCCAAGAACTACGATCCTAGCCTCGAGCCTCGATGCACCCCGTGCTCCTCCCTCCGCGAAGCGGTGGCACCGCCCAGGGAGGTCGATCTTCATTCTGGATCCATTTCTGGTGGTCCCGGGCCCCGAAGACAGCCCCCAGAGGCCGAACTCAAGGAGAAAGCCTCTGGAGGTCGAAAGCTGCAAAACATCGCGGCCCGCGCCAGTGGACCCTGGGAGGGGTTCGGGGAACGGCTTTGAGCAAAAAACGCCCCGTCGAACACTTGAGGATCGAGGTTCGAGGTTTTTTTTTGGGGGGGGGTCCGGGCCCTCCCTCGTCGCCACGGCCGGATGCAGCTCGGAAAGCTATCATGCGATTGGACCCCGGGAAGAGTCCGGGTGACCCCTGTTGCACGGTTTTTGCGTTAGGGGAAAAAATGAATTTGGTCATAGGTTCCTAGTTTGTTCCGTTTTTTTCGTTGTTTTCGTCGTCGAAGGGCCGCCGCCGGGTCCCGGGGCTTTCAAAAATAGATCCACGGTGAGAAACTGCACCAGATGGACCCTGGCAAGAGTCCGGGGACCCGTAGCACCTCGCAGTTGCGGATAAGCGTGAGGGGGCGGCGGGAACGTCTGCAGTCTGCGAGGCTCTGAAGAAGCCCGCCGCAGGCGCAAAATTTTCAAGCTATACAGGCGCCGATTTTTTGTCAAAACAATGGTTAGGTTGGTCGCAGGTTGGGTCGCAGGTCGGTCGCGGGTGGGTCGACGGTGGGTCGCGGGCCAGGTCGCGGGTGGGTTGATGGTGGGTCGCGGGTGGGTCGCGGGTGGGTCGCAGGGTGGGTCGCGGGTGGGTCGCGGGCCGGGTCGTGGGGGGGACGACGACAACAAACAACAACAACAATAGCAATAACAACAACAACAACAACAACAATCATTTTAAGACTGTTCGCCCTTATCTGCTCGAGTGTCCAATAACGCGTATTTCCCAAACCCTCGATACCCGCCCTCTTCGTCTTCGATCGAACCCCTTTTAAGGGGGTGTACCTTTCTTCCCTGCAGGCCGGGCCCCGACAAGCGGCGGGGCGGCCGCGGACCGTCGGCCTGGCCAGCGGCAGCGCTGATCGGCGGGGCGGCCGCGGACAGTCGACCCGACCCCAAGAGGGACGGACAGGGGACCGATCACGACGACGACGACGTCGACGACGACGGCGACGACGGCGACGGCGACGACGACGACGAGCGAAAGCGAGAACGAGAGAAAACGACAACAGAGCCACGAAGGACACGAAGTAGGCCACGAAGGGCGACAGCGGGGACACGAAGGGAGTGCGTATGGGGACACGAAGAGCACGAACGAGCGTGTGCCACGAAGGGCAGATAATGCGGGGCTACAGAAGGCAACGATGAGGCCACTGAGGGTAGCACCTGGGCCACGTAGGACAATGAGGGGGCCACAGACGGCGACAGCGGGGCCACGAAGGGCACGCACATGGGTCCACAACGGGCGCGAACGAGCGGGGGGCCCGAAGGGCATACGTATGTTGGGCCGCGAAAGGCAAGGACGGGGCCACTTTGGGCAGCAACGGGGACACGAAGGGCAGCGAGGGGGCCACGAAGGGCGACAGCGGGGCCACGAAGGGCATGCATATGGGGCCACCACGGGCGCGAACGAGCGGGGGCCACGAAGGGCAACAGATCTGGGGCCACGAAACAAAGCGAGGGGGCCACGAAGGGCTGCAACGGGGCCACGAAGGGCAGCGAGGGGGCCACGAAGGGCTGCAACGGGGCCACGAAGGGCTGCAACGAGGCTACGGAGGGCAGCGAGGGGGCCACGAAGGGCTGCAACGGGGCCACGAAGGGCAGCGAGGGGGCCACGAAGGGCTGCCTTCGTGGGCAACGAGGAGGCCACAAAGGGCTGCAACGCGGCCACGAAACAAAGCGAGGGGGCCACGAAGGGCTGCAACGGGGCCACGAAACAAAGCGAGGGGGCCACGAAGGGCTGCAACGGGGCCACGAAAGGCAGCGAGATCCCGATTCCTATGTAATCTGTGAGGGAGTCCTAAGCGTGAGCGCGACTCCTGGGTGCCTGGGTGTCGGGAGCGCGGCGCTGGAGCAAATGGCAAGAAATTCCAACGCAAGGGCGCTATTCTTCAGTACATTGCAAGCAAGTTTCCAGCGAGAGCGCGACTCCAGAGCGCAGGAGGAGCGATTCCTGAATAAATCGTAGGGACGTCCCAAGCGAGAGCGCGATTCTTGAATGACATGCGAGGAAGTCTCTGGCGGGAGCGGGGGTCCTGGCTAAATTGTGAGGAAGTCTCAGGCGGGAGCCGTTGTTGTTGCAACCCAGGGGCCAGGGGGCCAGCTTGAGCAGGAAGACTTTCCCTGTCAAAAAACAGGGTGCGAGCCCCGGGGGGGCACTTCAATTGAAAAAATAAATGTGCACTGGTGGGGGGATCAACAATAATTATTTTTCAAGAATGAGAATTCAACAGCAACTACAATCATTTTAAGACTGTTCGCCCTTATCTGCTCGAGTGTCCAATAACGTGTATTTACCAAACCCTCGATACCCGCCCTCTTCGTCTTCGATCGAACCCCTTTTAAGGGGGTGTACCTTTCTTCCCTGCAGGCCGGGCCCCGACAAGCGGCGGGGCGGCCGCGGACCGTCGGCCTGGCCAGCGGCAGCGCTGATCGGCGGGGCGGCCGCGGACCATCGACCCGACCCCAAGAGGGACGGACAGGGGACCGACGACGACGACGACGACGACGATGTCGACGACGACGGCGACGACGATGACGACGGCGACGACGACGACGACGAGCGAAAGCGAGAGCGAGAGAGAACGACAGCAGGGCCACAAGGACACGAAGTAGGCCACGAAGGGCGACAGCGGGGACACGAAGGGAATGCGTATGTGGCCACGGAGAGCGCGAACGAGCGGGGGCCACGAAGGCCAGATAACGCGGGGCCACAGAAGGCAACGATGAGGCCACTGAGGGTAGCAACTGGGCCACGTAGGACAGTGATGGGGGCCACAGACGGCGACAGCGGGGCCACGAAGGGCATGCACATGGGGCCACAACGGGCGCGAACGAGCGGGGGCCACGAAGGGCATACGTATACTGGCCCGCGGAGGGCAAGGTCGGGGCCACTTTGGGCAGCAACGGGGCCACGAAGGGCAGCGAGGGGGTCACGAAGGGCGACAGCGGGGCCACGAAGGGCATGCATATGGGGCCACCACGGGCGCGAACGAGCGGGGGCCACGAAGGGCATACAGATATGGGGCCACGAAAGGGCAGCGAGGGGGCCACGAAGGAATGCAACGGGGCAACGAAGGGCAGCGAGGGGGCCACGGAGGGCTGCAACGGGGCCACGAAGGGCTGCAACGGGGCCACGAAGGCCAGCGAGGGGGCTACGAAGGGTTGCAACGGGGCCACGAAGGGCAGCGAAGGGGCCACGAAGGGCTGCAACGGGCAGCGAAGGACAGCGAGGAGGCCACGAGGGACTACAACGGGGCCACGAAACAAAGCGAGGGGGCCACGAAGGGCTGCAACGGGGCCACGAAACAAAGCGAGGGGGCCACGAATGGCTGCAACGGGGCCACGAAGGGCAGCGAGATCCCGATTCTTAGGTAATCTGTGAGGGAGTCCTAAGCGTGAGCGCAGCTCCTGGGTGCCTGGGTGTCGGGAGCGCGGCGCTTGAGTAAATTGTTGGAAATTCCAACGCAAGGGCGCTACTCTTCAGCTTAATTGCAAGCAAGTCTCCAGCGAGAGCAAGACTCCAGTGCGCCGGGAGACCGATTCTTGAATAAACTGTAAGGAAGGCCCAAGCGAGAGCGCGATTCCATAATACAATGCGAGGAAGCCTCGGGCGGGAGCGGGGGTCCTGGCTAAATTGTGAGGAAGTCTCCGGCGGGAGCCGTTGTTGTTGTAACCCGGGGGCCAGGGGCCCAGTTTGAACCTCAAGACTTTCCCTGATCAAACACAGGGTGCGAGCGTCGAAGGGCACATTTTGATTGAGAAAAAGTCGTATGCACCGGTGGGGGGATCAACAATAATTATTCTTCAGAAGTGAGAGTTCAACAACAGCAACAGCAACTACAGCTACAGCTACAAGTACAACTACACCTACAACTACAACTACAACTACAACTACATCTACGACTACGACTACGACTACGACTACAACTACAACTACAACTACAACACAAAACACATCATCCTCACCAGGGATCCGCACTTAAGCCACGCACCCAGGGACAATGAATGACCGTTCGGCCCTCTCACTCTGAAGATGGTGAGCAAATTTTAATCGGGGGAGTGAGGAGGAGGAAGAGGAGGAGGAGGAGGAGGAGGAGGAGGAAGAGGAGGAGGACGAGGAGTGGGAGGAGGGAGGAGGAGGAGGAGGAGGAGGAAGGAGGAGGAGGAGGAGGAAGAGTCTTCATCGTCGTCGATGTCGGAAGAGAAGAAGGAAGGAGGAGGAGGAAGGAGGAGGAAGGAGGCGGAGGAGGAGGAAGAGGAGTAGGAGGAGGAGGAGAACGAGGAGGAGGAGGAGGAGGAGGAGGAGAAGGAGTAGGAGGAGGAGGAGGAGGAGGAGGAGGAGGAGGAGGAGGAGGAGAAGTGGGTTCTCAGAGGCCTCCTGGCAGCATTTTCGACGCCTCTGGCGAGCCGTGCTGGGGTCTCTAGGGGATTCGTTTGGGCCTCTCGTGGGCATTTGGGGGCCTCGTGGGGGCCTCATGGGGGCCTCGTGGCGCCTCCTCATGATTTCTCCGGGCCAAGTCCTCGAAATCTCCATTCGGGCTTCCCCTCAGACCCTACTCTTGGGGCCGTCCTGAGGCCCTCCTTGGTGGCTTCTGGGGCCCTCTTGGGGCCCTCTTGGGCCGTTTTGGAGCCCTCTTGGGGGCCTCTGGGGCTATCTTGGGTCGATCTTGGAAGCGTCTTGGGCTGATATGAGCCTCGTGACCGGCCAAGAGGCGAATGTGCTAAACATGTACGTTTCCCCTAGGGAGCGGGACGATTTTTGCTTCTTGAGGGCCTCTTGGGACGCCTCCTGGTGGCTTCTTGAACGTCTTAGGGGCCTCTTTGGCCGTCTGGAGGCAATTTTGGGCGTCTGGGAGCGACCTCTCGGCGACTCGTAGCCCTTTGGGACCGTCCTGGGGGCCTTTTGGGACTCTCTTGGCCCGTTCTGTGGCCTCCTGAGGCTCCAAGAGCGCGGCTGACGCATTTGCCCTCCGGCCCCCTCCCTCCGAACTGGCCAGAACGGGCTCCCAGGGCAGGGGCTTGGGGAGGGGGAAGCATCTCATACGCCGTGACCCCAAGGGGGGTCGGCGGATTTTCGTCGAGCGTGCCCGCGAGCTCAGCAAGCTCGACAGAGACCTCGCCACGCAGGGTGAGCTTGCCTCGCAGGAGGCGTTCATCACACAAATGAGGACGATATTCGAGGAGGTGGACGACGAGAAGTACGGCAGGATCACCTGGCAGAAGTTCCGGGACTACCTGCGGAGCGACAGGGCGCAGGCCTTTCTGGCCACACAGCAGCTCGACACCTCCGACGCCGCCCGCCTCTTCAGCCTCATGGAGGTGTCGAGGGAAGAAGGACGGGGACCATGATCAAGATGCCCCGGGATCTTGTCGATGCCGATCTTGGTCGTGGTCTATGCTGGCCGTCGCCGGTTCACGAGGGTGATCCACGAAATGACGCCGACCAGAGTCAACGGTGACCAAGATCGGCACGACGTTTCCGCGTTCAGCCTTGCTCGCGCGGAGGGGGGTGTCGGAAGGGGGGAGGGCATCTTAGAAGCACCCCTGCTTCTTAGGAGGCGCGGACCTGATCTGTAGATGTCAGGCCGGCGCTCTCTAAGAAGCAGCCTCCTCCTACTGAAAAGCCCTCCCCCTCCCACCCCCTTGTGCGCACCGCCAAGTGTGCTCCTTCCAAGGTGGACGACGCGGGGGCCGTCAGCGTAGAGGAGTTCGCGCTCGGCTGCATGCGGCTGCGTGGGCCCGCCAAGAGCTCCGACGTGGCCCTCCTGCTCCGGGAGGCCAAGGTCGGGCGGAAGAACGCGAAGATGCTGTTCCGGCTGGGAGTTCGCTTGGACCGCCTCTGCAGGATCCTCGGCATCCTGGAAGAGGAAAAGACTGGCAGAGACATGGAATTTCGGCGCTCCGCGCCGTTTTTTTCTGGATCGGCGCCGAGCCCACCTGGCGGCGCCTCCGGCGCCGCCCCCGGCGCGCTCCGCGCGCCAGGGAGGGGGGCCTGAGCGCAGACCCAAGAGATCCGTGCGGACCGTCGAAGTTTGTGTTTGCGCAGTCTGCTCTTGTTCCAGACGTCCCCAGTCTCGACGACGGGGCGGGCGCCCCCCCCAGCGGGTCGCTCCTGTCTGCACGCTCGGCGACGGCACCGCACCCGGGCTAGCCGTCTCGCCACGGCGCGGCCGCCGCAGCGCGAGCGGCCGCAGCGCGGCATGCCTGCGCGGGCTGCGTCGCCTTCGTCGCCGCGGCCCGTGCGGAGTCCGCGTGGCGCCGCCTGCCTTCGCCTGCGAGCCTCTCCTCGCCAGGGCGCGGGGCTTGCCGACACCCTCCCGTTGCTCTGGCACGCGGGCCTGCACCCCTCTCTTTGGCAGTCACTAAAGCGTGCCTGCAGAGGGGGGGGCGGATGGAGGAGTGAGGCGTGAATTCGACCGGCTCGGGCTTGGAATACGTCCGCGCCTGTTGTCAGGACCCGCTAGACCTAACATCTATTTTTTGCTCATGCCGAGCACGACACAGACAAACATCGCCAGAAGTTTTTTTTGCCGCTCTTGTCCAGGTGTCCTGCCGTGATTGGAGGCACGATTCTGGGCCGACGCCGGCTATTTTGATTGCGTTTTGTGCGTAGCGCGGGTGTGGTACAGACTCATCGCTCCCCTGCGACTCCCAGTTCGAGTGGCCTCAGAGCAAAGTCCGTCGCCAGTTCCTCCCTGTGCACTTGGTGTGACGTCCGACGGGCACGTTGCGCATCGTCCATGTTCGACCAGCAGCTGCGGTATCTCGAGTGTGCGGCGTCCTGTCGCTTCTGAGGTATCATGACCATCTTTGGTGCGAGAGCATATAGGATCTAGGCACGGTCACATCTTGAATTGAGCATCATGGTAGCTCGAGGCGTTTGTACTGTTGTGATTCCATGGCCACTTGCCCCCGAGTCTGAGCACGAGAACAGATCACAGCTTGGACAGCACGTGCTGAGAGTCTCACGCGCGCGGTGCGTGCCGCGTGAGCTGACGCATCGCTGCCCCCTTCACCTCCCCGCAGCGCCTCTTCTGCATGCAGCGCCTTGCGCGTCTGCTGCAAGCCTTGGCATCGCTCGGACGTGTGCATTCTTTCTCGGCGGGGACCATCGATGAGCATCTTTGGTCATCCAGCGAAGAATACACGCACGGAATCGAACAATGCACAGGGAATGGGCGTCCAAGCGATGGCAAGCAGCCCGCTCCTCTCGAGGAGGTCCTGCGCAACGACCGCGCCGCGGCGCAGAGGCACCTTCTTCGTGCTCGGCTGCTGTTCGCGGGGGAGGGTGCCGGCGGTTGGTGGCCGTGGCGGGCGGGAGGTGGCCTTCCACGGGAGCAGGGGTGCTGGGACGATCGAGATGGGCACGGAAAGAGGGGGTACGATGCCGAGCAGCAGCTCCTGATCATTCTGAACATGACTCGCTGTCCGCGCCGCCACGGACGTTTGGTGCACTGACGACATACAGCCGCCTGCCCAGCAGCTGCCGCTGTCGGTTTTGGACAGCTTTGACTGTTGGGCATTGTGGTCATTTTTGTTCCGTACCCCTTTTGGGCGTTCAAAGAGTTGGGAGTGGGGTGAGGGGCGGGACTCGGCCGAAAAGGCGGGGCCGAAAGGATCGCGCGGGAGATGTGCAACGGTGCCGCGGAGGGGGCGGAATCGGGACCGGCCCGATGCGGCCGAGCGTCGCGGCATTCGGCCAGGCCGAGCGTCGCAGGCGGACAGGAAAAGCCACAGAGCCGGCAGGGATGCGTGGCCAGGTCTGGCGTATGCAGTTCAACTGTCAGCCGTCCTTGGCGTGGAGCATTTCTGTGCCTTTGAACCCCCCATCTCCGCATCCTCCCCCCCCCGCTTGGCCCCCTCCCCCCCACCCACTCCTCCTCGCGTCCTTCCCCCTCTCCGCCGCTTCCCCCCCCACCCACTCCCTCGTGATCGCTCTGGCATGGAGCGCGAAGCACGTCCAGCATCCTACCCTCCTCCCCCTCCTCCGCGTCCTCTGCGTCCTCCCGCTCCCCCTCCCCACCTTTCAGGGCAAGCCTGCGGAAAGGGCTCGTGGTTACGATATGTTACGATGTCCCCGCAGGGGGGCCAGGTGCGAGAAGGCTACCGACGTCATACCACCAGCGCATCAAACTTCAAGGCCAGTCAGTATCGGGATGCTCGTCGCTGTTTTTCGACCGCTGGATCCCTATTGTGCTTCTCCTCTCCAGACCTTCGACGTCGCGACTTCTTCGCAGCACGGACACCCAGTGGGTTCGATCATTTCCCCATGCCCAGTTTGTCTTCCAAGCCGTCTTGTCAAATCCGTGGCCCTTGGAAGTCGCAGACGAGCGCCCCCAGAAAAGCCGAAGATAAGCAGAAGTGTTTTGTTGTGTTGCGATGCTCTCTCCTCTCCAGACCCCCGACGTCGTGACCTTCGCAGCATGGACACCCCGGGACTGGTCTGTCTTGCCGAGCCGTCTCCTGGAACCCAGGGCCCCGGGAAGCCGCAGGCGAGCGCCTCCGGGAGCCGAAGACGAGCACAAGCTTGCCGTGGGGTTGCGGTGCTCGCGCGTCACGAAGAGGCTTGCGTCCCCACGCCCAGAGAAAAAACATACTGGGGCCGAATACATAATTTTTTCGCCCTCCCCAAAAAAGCACCGCCTCCCCCTATTCAAGATCGGCTTCGAAAAAATACTAGAGCGAGGGGGGCCATGCGTCGTTCACTGTCCCTGGATGTGGCTAAACTGGAGCTCCGCGGCGCGGGTTCTAGTGGAATTCTTAGCTCTCAAGAATACCCTTGGTGGATTCCCACCATCTAGTGCACCTGGTGCTTTTTTAATTTTTCACGCCTTGCGTATCCCCACCAGCCAATTCGCAAACCTTGCCCATGAGAGCTGACGGGATGATTGACGAAGACACAACTGTAATGGAACGGAGCGGGCATCCAGGGTGAACAGAGAAATCTCTAGGAGCAACAGGGTGGCCTTGAAGGGCCTCGTCGGGCCATCCATGGGGCCTGCGCGGGGGCGAGGGAAGGAGGAGGAAGGTGATGATGATGATGAGGAGGAGGAGGAGGAGGAGGAGGAGGAGAAGGAGGAGGACCAGTGTAAACCCAAGAGTCATCAACGATGTTGGAATTACTCCTCCCTCCAAGTTTTCTGTTCATGAGCCCCTACAATGTTTAATTTCCATTGAGGGAGCTGCCTCGTTGGAAGACGACCGTTTGAAGACCTTGAAGCATGGCAAAACATTGTTCTCGGGACTTCCACGCCACGGATCAACGTGACTGCTGCGTCCTGACGATCTGGAATCATTCCAGAACGCCATTTTCATTTGTTTTTGGGAATTTCAACACCGCGAATCAACATATTTGTTGCGCCCGCGTAATCCTCACTCCGTCCAAGACTTAATTTCTGATACCTTGATCATGGGAACCCGTAAAACTCTTGCACATGTTTAGAATGAAAGTGCGCGGCGTTAACGCGAGAGCAACATTTTGAAAAGGAGCCGCCCTCAAAAAAAGAAACGAATGTGCGCGGCGTTGAGGCGAGAGCCACATGTTGAAAACCACCCGCCTTCAATACGTGAAACTCTTACAACTGGCAAGAACCAATGTGCGCGGCGCTGAGGCGAGAGCACATTTTGAAACGACCCGTTTAAAACCAATGTGCGCGGCGTTGAGGCGAGAGCCACCTGTTGAAAACCACCCGCCTTCAATCCGCGAAGCTCTCACAACGGTTAAGAACAAATGTGCGCGGCGCTGAGGCGAGAGCCACATTTTGAAAACGACCCGTTTAAAACCTATGTGCGCGCCGCTGAGGCGAGAGCTACATGTTGAAAACCACCCGCTTTCATCCAGTGGAACCACTGCAAATGTTTAAGACGAATGTGCGCGGCGCTAAGGCGAGAGCCACATTTAAAAAAACACCTGCCCTCAATCCGTGAAGTTTTTGCAAATGTTTAAACCGAAAGTGCTCGGCGGTAAGGCGAGCACGTTCGTTTTAATCCGTGAAGTTTCCGCAAATGTTCAAAAGGAATGTGCGCGGCGCTAAGGCGAGAGCCACATTTTGGAAACCACCCGCCCTCCATCAGTGAAACCGCTCCCATTTTTCAAGCTTCAGAATCATCAAATGGAGAGGAGGTCTCAGGCGAAACGCCCAGCCCGCCCTAAGAACTGGCCTTGGGGTGCGACAGGGAGAATCTGCTTATGAGGCAAAGGAAAGTGGGAGGAAGACGACGACGGCCACGACGGCGAGGAAGAAGAAACGAAAACGAAGACGATGAGGGCAAGGACGAGGACGAGGAGGAGGATGAGCATACAGGACGAGGACAGAGCTTTCAAAATCGCCTCTTGTAGCCCTCTTGGGTCTCTTTGGGGGATCTTGTGGTCATCGTGGGGCTTTTTGGGGGAGTCTTTGGGCCCTCTTGGAGGTCTCTTGGGGGTCCCTTGGGGGCCCTGGACGGCCTCTTGGGGCCATTGAGGGGAGGCAATCGATCAAACGGGAGGGGTTCTCGATTTTAGCCCCCCCCCTGGACGGGTCACATTCCAACCAGAGCGGTCACTTTACAACCAGAGGGGGCCAATTACAACCAGCATGGGTTTTCCCACAAGGGCACTTTACAACCAGGAAGGCCGCTTTACAACCAGGCAAGTAAACGCACATAAACGATCTACAATTTCCCAAATATCCGGGGGTCCACGTAAGAGAGACAATTCGCTCTCTGAAGCGTGTTGGTTGTAAAGTGATTCGTCTGAAGCGAGAATTTGTGAAGTGGCTGATTCCTGATGGGATCCAACAGAACTTATATTGGAATCGAGTGGCGCCCTTCGCACTGGGATCCTGATGGCACCAGATGAATCCCATTGGTATCCAACAAGAATCCTCGCTATGGGGCCTACGGGTGTCCTATAAACCGACAGGCAGTCTTCCTATTGAAACCCTTTGGGGCCCTTCCTAAAGGAAACCGGTTGGAAACCCCATTGGACTACAATCGAGGAACCGTCCTATTGGAATGTTGCGGGAAACGCACTGGGGTACCATATGGAAACCCGGTGGGGATCTTTTCGGGGTTTCGTTCGAAAACAATAGAAATCGCTTATCTTGGAATCCCATCGAGACCATATTGGCGAATACGATGGACATAACACCAGAATCCAATCGGACTCCTTCCTTTTCGATCCATATTGGCAAATTATGATCCCATCACGGTCCAATTGTAATCCAACAAGAAGCTGTCCGCTTTGAGTCATGCTGTACCCCGATGGGTGTCATCCTTGTGGTATCCAGGAGGAGCTATTGGAACCCCGTTGAGTTGAGATCCAATCGGGCTCCTCCCGCTACAGGCTGGTGACAGGCCTGGGTGGTTGACGTATTTTTGTTGACATCGATGCCCTAAATCTACATCGTTTTGTGGGAGCTTCAAAACCTCTGTCTGAAAATACTGCTTCTTTTGGAAATGGGGCGTTGGCCGCAAACGACGCAGAGGAACACGCGCGCCCCCAGGAGAGCGGACATGTCGCCAAGAAGTCGTTGGTCAATGTTTGGCCAATACATGTGGATTTCAAGAAGTGTTTTTGCATCATAGACATGTTTGCCATCGTGCCCCATCGTCCGGCTAAAATACGACCCTATGTTTTCGCATGTGCGGAAGCATGCGTACCCAGGGAAGCGGACATGTGCCCAAGAATTCATTGGTACATTTCTGGCCAACCCATGCCAGTGTCAAATGTGGGCATTACGGAATCATGCGTGCACAGGAGGGCGGACATGTGACAAGGCAATGTTCATTCAATTCTAGCCAGAGCATGCGGATTTCAATTTGTTTGGTTTTGCTGGCATTTTTTGCCCTGGCGCCTCATCGGGTGGCAATAACCAAACCTGTTGTTTGCACCTTCGCGGAAGCATGCGTACCCAAGAGGGCGGACATGCGGCCAAGAAATCTTGGGCAATATTCCCCCAAGAGGCCCTCCCAAAACCCCAGAGAGCAGCCACCCGGCAGTAGGAGCCGCAAAACGGCTCCCTTCTTCCGCCCCCTCCTCATCCTTATCCTCAGAGACCTCTGCAGATCATTCAAGCGCCCAGGAGCTTCAGAAGCATCTGCAGGGCGATCAGAAGCCTCGGCAAAGCGCCCAGGCGCTCAGAAACCTCTGCAGAACGCTCAGGCGCTCATAAGCCTCTGCAGAACGTTCAGGCAAGCGCTCAGAAGCTTCAGAAACCTCTGCAACGAGCTCACGCCCTTCTGAAGGCTGGTTGTCAAGTGGCAGTTC